CATCAAGACTATCACAGACACTAGATGTCTGTAATTTCAGTGACACAGATGGTAGATGTCTATGTGATAGATAATTATACACAGAAAAACATACTCCGTACCAAATACCAAGTATGCAAAAGATCATATACCAACATACTATTCAAATAAAAATAAATAAAAAATCCCTAAAAATTATATTTTAATAAGTATAAATTAGAAATTTTTGGATTTCATGTTCCAAACAATGGTGAGAAATATCCAGCAATGGTAGGTGAGAAACACCCTCCGGCGACAGCACCGACAATGATTTAGAAGAAACCCAACAACGGCGTTGTGCAGGGAAAGCCGGTAGGACGCGATTAATTTCCGGCAGTGAATTGTAGTTGTTTAGAAGACTAATAGTGTAAAATAGAATTAGGCGAATTTGGTAACAGAGACACTATAAGTTTGTAATTATTCAAACACAGACATGTAATATATGTATTTAATGTATGAAAAGTGTACTTGTCAAATACACCAAATATTATTTTATAATTTTTTCTTATATTGTAAAAATAAATTAAATATGCATAAAGTAATGTTTGGTCAAATAGACAATAAACTTTTTTAATTCATTAAAAACAAATGTTTATTGTCTGTGTAACCTGTATAAAAATTAATCTAACAAATATACACATAATGGAGCATAAAGAACATTTCACAATTTTCTCTAGATTGTAAAAAAAGAAAAAAGTTATAATTACCACTGTTTAGTTACATAGACACCAAATATATGTAATTCTTGATACATAGACATTTATTGTCCGTGTAACCTGGATGCAAATTTCACCCGTTAATTATGCCAAATAACAGAGTATCAAGAGCATTTCACAAATTTAATTATGTTTAAAACAAAATAAAAAAATAAAATAATCAACGCTGTTTAGTTACACAGACACTAAAGTTTTGTAATTGTTTGAACACGGACATTTACTGTTTGTGTACTCTGAATGAAAATTGCACCACCATCTCTGCCAAAATCAACTGCTCCGGCAACATTGTTGAAGACGAAGAAAGTTGTGGTGACGATCATAAAGGAGCAGGTGACGACGGGGAAGCGGGTGGCAGAGAAAGAATTGAAGGCGTGGTTCGTGCCCCTACTCCGATCCAGATCTCGGCGACAATGATGATGATGGCGCCGTTGTAATGCTTCTGGGAGGCTGTGGGGAGCCCACGCCGTGCAACTTCCAAGGGGGGCGCCGAAGATCGAGGATCCCAAAGTGCAAATTTGTGGTGGCGAAGATGAAGGTAATCACCGGCAGGGAGGAAGAGAGATGCGAGATCTAGGGAGGAAGAGAGAATGAGTGAGAAAGGGAGATGATGAAGGCCTGGTGCTGCGTCGATCATCGGCACGAAGGAGGGAGTTGAGGGATCTAAGGAGAAAGAAAGAGTGAGCAGGAGAGATCTGAGAAATAGAGGGTAGGGTGGGTTATGGAATGGGAGTGAGGGGTGTATATGGTGTTCATTTGGGGTACACCAGTGGTGTACCCCTAGCAGGACCGAATTTATTTATTTTTAAATAATTTTATTTACAAATAGATATTGAAATTAGAGTTATATTTTACATACTCTTTTCGTACCAAAATGAATTACACTTTTTGTAAAATAAAGTAAAATTTCAATTCATTTTATTCAAAAATTGGTATAAAAATAAAATATAATACTTGCATAATCAAAAGTGACATCAAATACTCTACAAAACAAGATGTGAAAAAATGTTTTAGTTTACCAAAGAATCAATGAAAACATATAAATAAATAAGTTTTCATGATTTTTGAATAGTTAAAAGTGTAAAGCATTGTGGAACAGACGGAATATATTTAAAACTACGGAGTACAACAAAAGTTTATGAAACAAGACGCGACAAGAATGTTTTGCTTTATCAAATGATTAATGAAATTACACAAATAAAAAAATATTATCGAGTGGTCAAAATAAAAACTAAGATGATATTTTTGGGACGGAGGAAGTACCCCCTCTCTTCTCAGGGCAATTGCGAATTGGTATTTGTAGATAAATAATTTAAATAATTTATAGGTTTTTGCATCATTTAACTTGAACCCTATAAGAATTGTATGGATTCTTGTTAGAGCCGAAGGATAAATTTCGTAAAAAATTGCAGAGACGGATATCACTACTAGTCACATAAATTTTACACTTTCCTAAAAGTTTACTATCTACTCTCATTGTAGTAACCGGATTACAAGATTGAACTTTTGAGATAAAAATAAGGTGTACAGTGTACTTTGATACCTCACAAAATAACACTAAACAAATTATTTGTGTATAAAATGTATAAAAAAATTTCTTTTATCGTTGTAGGAAAACAATACTCCCTCCTTCAGGAAATAATCTTCTCATTCTTCCTTTTTGTTCAAAAAATAATCTTCTCATTCTACCATTTCATCTCAATTCTTCTAAAAATACCCCTCTAATTAAACCTCGTTTTCTCCTTTTTTTTTCTCCCTCTTCCTTTTTCTCAGCCAGACCATTCTTCTTCTTCTTCTTCTTCTTCTTCTTCTTCTTCTTCTCCTCCTCCTCCTCCTCCTA